TAGAAAATATATACAAACATCAAACTTAATTTACAAATAAATTTGCCAAGATGACTTTTGGCTGGCCATCTTAAGCACTTAAGATGTGTAGCAACCTCTATTGAAATTGAAGAACATTTCCAATTAATAAAGCAATTTTTTTCCTTTATATTAAAGAAATAATAAAAGTAAAATAAGTTGAAAATTAAATTTAAACCATAAAATCGGTAATGATTTTAATTTTTGATAAAAATATAATATTAATTTCATTTAAAAATTATATTTGTAAGTTCCTTCCTTAATTTCAATTTTTTTTTACAAAATCCACTAACATGAGAAATAAATTTATTATATATATACCTTTAAATGTAAAAATACAGTAGAAATCTCATATTCAAAATTTATGAAGTTTAATAGAAAAATTTATTAAACATTAATTAAAATCTAATTTTGGAAAAATTAAAAAGAAATTTTCTAATTTCTAGCATTTTCAAAATCTGGATGAATATTTAACCTGCTTTGAGCTCTCATAACTCTTAACCTGTATTGTTTCTAGTAATAAACCTAAGACCGATTTGAAGTATTCATATCATACTATAATATTAGAATTTGTTTCGATGAAATAATCACTAGATTCCTTAGTTTTAGAAGCCAAAAGTTTAAAAATTATCACAGATATACCTAAATTTTTAAATTTTCAATATCAACCAACCATCTTTGGACCTTCGATTCTCTCAACACAAAAACTCCTAATCGAGCCATTGATCAAAATTAAATAGTACATCTCATATTACAAAAAACCCCCAAAGAAACGACTTAAAACCTTACTAGAATGTAGAGTTTCGGTTACTCAAAATTCATTCGTCAAAATTGTTAAAAATGAGTTTCTCAATTAATTTCAAAAATTTGTATTTGCTTAACCATAAAACCAAATGGGATGTTACAAAAAGCATTAGAAAGATCTTTTCGAAACCTTTCCATTAGTACCCAATCATGCCACCAAAAAGTCAGAGGAACAATATCAGATTTGAATGAATATTAAAGAAACACAAAATAACTTGGGACTTTTGTGCCCTAACTATGAAAATACAAAACCTCATCGTACTTTAATTAGCACTTTCTTGAATGTATATTCCCTTTCTTTGTTTTTCTTCTTCTTCTCCTTCTTTTGACTATCTTTCTCTTAAGCTTGATGATGTAAAACTAAGCTACTTTTCCTCTTTTAAATGTGATAATGTTAAACTGCTTTAACTTCCTCTGATTATTTTTCTTTAAATGTGATAATGTAAAACTACTTTTCTTTGAGCATATATGACCTCTATCCTAATTTTTGGAATTTGATTTCGATTTTGTTTTTTTTTTAAAGGCATGTAACTATATCGATTTTGTTTTTGGAAGGTGATTTTTGATCACCGTATATATATATATATATATATATATATGTTTTGTGAATACAAACATAAAATATTTAGTATGAAACAAATATGCTTTCGATGTGTTCAAGATGTGCTTTTTGAAAGTGAATATCTTGTTTTGTGAAATTGGATAATCAGAAAATATGTTTTGTTTCGTCTCCTAGTATGGTTATGCTCTGACCTTGCCAATGGGGGTTAAATGTTAGTTATATCGATATGTATTTTGTAATTAGAGATTGCTCTCCAAACTGCATCACTGGTTACAAAATAGTGGTATTTGACATATCTGTTCAGTACAGCTAATGGTTGTTTTTGATATACTTTTAACTTCTGTCACTAGGGTTAATTGTGGTTTTAATTTTGACCCATACTATTTGGGTTAATTGTAGTTTATTTCTAACCTATGCCGTAGTGGTTAAGTGTGATTGTAACATGTTACATGAGACCAATGAATCTACAATTGTTATGAAATTATATTTACTTTTGTTATCTAAAAATGAAGTTTTGTAATAATATGATCTAAATGAGATTAACAAAAATTTTGTTTTGATACCTATATGAGTATTAGTAATTTTGAGCTAAATGTTTCGAGCATACTTAATTCAACTAAAAAAATGTTAGTTACTTGTTGAACCATTATACTTATTCCTTTTTTTAATATTTTTTTACAGATTGTAATTTGGTTAACGATGCGAGAAAATTTGGGGAGTGACGTTTCATAATCTAGTATATGAATTTAAATTTCCTTAAGATTGTTTAAACGTTATGAACTTTAAACTATCTTAAATTAGTTATTCGAGCTTTTATCTCGATATATTAGGTTCACAATATTGAAAACTTAAATCTGAATATTATCAAATTATGACCTTTCGAATTTTACTAAAAGATTTAGCTTTTACAAATCATTATATTCTTCAAGTTTATTGCCTTTTTTTAGTTAGTTATATAAGATATATGTATTTGACCATTACATTTCTGTAGGATTATATTTTATAGATATGCAATGTCTGTTGTGCCTTGAGTTAGGAGCATGACAGAGAGTATACAGAAAGAGCAAGTATTGATTATTTGATAATTAAGTGTTTGTGGTTTAAATATAACTGTTATTACTTTGAATAATAGTATTTTTAAATATATATATATATATATATATATGAAATTTTATTAAGATAAAGGTTTATAAAAATTATTTGTAAATCAACAACGATGCAAGACTGCATAAGAAGAGATATAAAATCTCCTTCTCTGTTTGCTCTAAATATAAAAACGAACTCAAACTAGTCCGATTACGCTGAAATCAAACAACAAATAATATTCTCACATTGATCCCACCACAATCTGAATTGAATCATTCCCGTGCAGAAGTAATACCAAAACAAGAATTATTTTGCATTTCACAAGGTTCCCTGTCCAACATCAAGCCCCCAAAAACTCATGTCAAACCTACACATGTAAGCATCCAAAAATACCAAAGCAGACACAAGACAGAAACCATCATCCCACAACATTCCACATCCAACATCAAGCCTCCAAAAACTCATATCAAAAGCACAAAAGTCAGCATAAAAAAAAAAGAAAAAAGAAAAAAAGCAGGCACAAGGCAGATATCATCATGCAAATTACCCTGACAGCAAAGCACTCCGCCAATGGAAGACCAGTTTCTATGACATTATCTGTCCTGATAATGCTCCAATTATTTTGTTAACAATCATTTCTAAATAGCCTTTCTTTTTCTGTAAAAACCCCTCCTTCCCCTTCATTTCCCGCTATTCCTTAATACATAAGAGATTTCATGCTTTCTCCTTAAAGGAACTCATATTCAGGTTTAGTGTTTGACCGTTATAGGGGTTTTCGTTTTCATGTTTTAATAGAGTGGGTAGACTCAATTTGAAGATTCTTTGGTCTTGCCAATTGATTTATTTAATATTACTAGAATCTAAACAGTCTTCGAGATTAAGTCTCAATTTTCTACTCAGGAATTAGTACCCTATATTGCTAAAATTCTAGAATAATAGACCTCTTCATCTGGCCAAAGAAAAACGAAGATTTAAATAAAACCTTTTCAAAGAAGTTTCATTGAGTGACTTCCTCATGAGAATTGAGACCTAGAAATTGAAAAAGAAAAAAGAACTAGAGATCAAAGAGATAATACATTTCAAATGTTTGAACTTTCTTGTTTTGTTTGATCTTCTAAAGTCCTTTTTGCTCGTAAACCTTTTCTAAATTGATGATTTAATTATACAAATGTTAAGCATGGATGAAGTCAAAATTTTTTTTTCATTTATGGTGCCGATGTAAAATTATCTATTTATTGTTACTATACATAAAATTCAAAACATTTAACAAGTAATTCTATATTAAATTAAATAAATACAACATACTAAAAAGGTACAGACAAAAAGGGGAAAGATGGAGCAGTAATAAGCTATGTTACCTTGTCCGGGCATTGGATACGGTTCTTCTTTTGGCCAAGCGTGATATGATTAATTCAACAGTGAGTATAATAATAGTAAAAGAATTAATTAAAATCTAATATTTTTGTGCAAAAGTTTTTTGGTACTTACTGAATTCTGAAACATTTATCTTATTTTTGAAATTTGTTCAAATGATTTATATTTTTGTGCACTTAATCTATTTAATGACAACTATCAATTTGTGAAGGTTGATTTTCAGTTTAATTTTATTTAATTATTTGTAAGGAAGAATTTCAAAAACTAAGTGCTTTGCTGCTAAAGGAACATAAAATAAAATTTTAAATTATTTTAAAAAAATTAAATAAATTTTTATTTTTTGTTATATTCAATTAAGTCCGTATACTTATATTTTAAATCAAATAAACTTTTATAATTAATGATTGACTAATTATCATTAATTAACATACCACTTATCATTTTATATCCACATGATACCAACATTGCGTTAATGTAGAGGATTTATGTTATCATGTCACATAATCATCAATTATATTATGTCAGTATGTCATGTTATTATTAATTATGATATATTAGTATGTCACGTCAATATTACGTGACATAAAATAACAAATGATATTTTGACAAATTCAATCATTAGTCATATGAATTATTTGGTTCAAAAAAAATATAAAAACTTAATTAAACATAATAAAAATATAAGTACTAATTTAAATTTTTTTTAATAGCTTTTTTAAAATAGTTTAAGAGATTGTTAGATATTATGCTAAATACTTTCTTCCTTTCAAATGAAGAAAGCTGGGGAAAAGTTATCTAAATTTCTCCTCAAAATTTATTTCATTAAAACGACAGTATGCTAAATGTTTTATTGTAAAATTTTGCTTTACATTTCTAGTCAATAGAAATAACAAATCAAGAAATTCTAAGTTCGTTTCTCCCGTATTTTCCATGAACCAAACAACACGTTAAAGTTTTTGGAAAAACTTCTTAACCCAATGATACTGTCGAGAAATTTCTTTGCATTTCATGTAGGTTGAAAATCAGCATTCAGCAGTTCCCCAGTCAATTTTTACGGAAGTCCAATTTTCACATCGACCATTATATATATAAGGAAGCAAAGATCAAGAAACTGGAGAGTTAATCACACAGGAAACTAAAAAGGTCTTGCACTCTTATGGAGATGAAGAGGAAGAACCGAATTTTGCTATTACTTGTCATCATCAATTTAACCAGCTGTCTTGGCAAGTTGAGTGCCAAACCAGTACTTACTAACAAGACAGAAAATGAAATGGTTAATGAGGTTCATGTTGGAGTCATCCTCGACATGGGGTCGTTGGAGGGAAAAATTCTTCAAAGTTGCATTTCCATGGCAATTTCTGATTTTTACGGCGTGCACGGTCACTATAAAACGAGGCTAGTTCTCCACACAAGGGACTCCAAAGGAGAAACTCTCAACGCTCTTTCAGCTGGTAATTAGCTTTCTTGAGTCAATTACATGGTGCAACATGTATTATTTTGTCAGTCTGTTTATGATTTTCTTGCATTCAACAGATGAGCAATGAGTGCTATGCGGATCTCTTTTTTCTTTTTCTTTTGTTTCTGTTGATAATCTTAGCCAACTATAATTTATTTCTTATGTGCAATATGTAATACACCTGCATCTGCATCAAGTTTAATATAATTTTCGACTTTTAATTAATACGACGTCGTCAAACCATGATTGTTTAGTCATTCTGGTAGACTTTTCTGTCTGTTGAATGACTTGGCTATAGCTTGTGTCCCTTCAGATCTGGTGGTTAACTACCGACCTCTTTTCCTCTTTTTCTAACTAAAAAATAAAACGATATAATAGTCTTGAATTTGATAGAATGACAGCAATACACAAGTATACAACCATGCATCATATCTGCTCCAAGCCTCCAACTTTATCTGTACACGGTTAATTAACAGAAATACATCTGTTAGCAATGGTTACGTTGACAGGTAGACTTGCTCGTGTATATTTGCCCAAACCTTTGTTTATAGCATAATTGCATCATTCCATAATGCAGCTGTTAATCTTTTGGAGCACAACAAAGTAGGAGTGATCCTTGGTGCGCAAACATCAACAGAAGCGAAGGTTTTGGCTGAGTTGGGAAAAAAGAATAAGGTCCCAGTGGTTTCTTTTCATCCACCAAGTTCTCCATCCTTAATCAACTATCCTTACTTTGTTGAAATCGCACAAGACGAAAGGTCACAAGTTAAAAGCATTGCTTCCGTCGTTGAAGCCTTCAAGTGGAGGAATGTCATCCTTGTCTACGAGGACAACTACGATTGGAAAGATCTCACTCCCTATATTGTTGACTACTTGCAAGACAAGGAAGTGCACATTGTGCGCAAGACAGCCATTGCCATGGCTTATGAAAATGATCAAATCATTGAAAAGCTTCATGAGCTCATGGCATTGCGAACTTCAGTCTTTGTTGTGCATATGTCTTATTCTCTTGTTACTCGTCTGTTCTTGAATGCAAAAAAGGTTGGAATGATAAGTGAAGGATATGCTTGGATTTTGACGGCAAAGAGCATGAATCTTTTACACTTCAAAGATTTGTCAGTCTTGGAGTCGATGCAAGGAGTGGTTGGTTTCAAGTACTATGTTCCAGAGTCAGGGGAGCTGCAGAATTTTACCTCGAGATGGAGAAGAACATTCTTTGCTGAGGAACCTGAAATGGAAGCGATTGAGTCAAGTGTATTGGCTATGAGGGCATATGATGTTGCCTGGTGTCTAGCAAAAGCAGCAGAGAGGGTACGGAAAAAAATCCCTCTGAACAGAAGTCCTACTCGATTGAACTTGAAGGATTTACATAGCATGAGAACATCTGTTCAAGGTTCAACATTTCTCAAGGAGATCCTGCATAGTAAGTTCAAGGGTTTAAGCGGTGAATTTCAATTCAGTAAAGGGAAACTAGTCTCGAATACACTTGAGATAGTTAATGTGATAGGAACAGTGAGGAGAAGAGTCGGATATTGGATTTCTGATGGTAAAATAACAAAACAATTGCACTCCAGCACCGATCGCAGATACTTATTGCCATCCTCCGGTGATCATCAGTTTGAAGCCATTACATGGCCTGGTGGATCTGCATCAATTCCTAGAGGTTGGACAGGGAGTTGGAAAAAACTAAAAGTCGGTGTTCTACAAAATGCTGGATTTCCAGAATTTGTGAAGGTACATCATGATCCTCAAACCAACATGACAACTGCGACTGGCTTCTGCATAGATGTCTTCAAGGCTGCCCTCGAGGCTTTAGAATATGAAGTAGAGTATGAGTTTATACCATTTAAGAAGGACAGCGAAGAACTGGCCGGAGCTTACGATGATCTTATTTACCAGGTCTATCTTCAGGTACGCTCTATTCAAAAATTAACCAACTCTTTGTTTAGTGCTAAAAGCAGAAGCAGTGTTTTGAGATAAGTCTTGTAATGATGTTGTTTTTAATTCTGGAAACTTTGCATATACTCTTCTACGCATGCACAACACACGAGAACATAACAGAAATTTAATATTCATAGCTGGTTACTTTGTTAAGAGCTTTTTCTTTCCTTTTTTTTTTCTTGGATTAAGTTGTCCCTTATCTTCATTGTTACCAAATGACAAGTTTCAATGTTCTTATTGTTGAATCCTGCTACTTGGATGAAACAGAAATATGATGCTGCTGTCGGGGATATAACCATTACGCCGAACAGATCTCTATATGTTGATTTTACATTACCATACACCGATTTAGGCGTGGGAATGATAGCCCCAAAAGACGTCAAAAACATATGGATATTTTTGAGGCCACTGACAGCAGATCTTTGGCTATCAATTGCTGGCCTTTTTATCTTCATCGGCTTTGTTGTTTGGCTGATTGAACGCCCTATTAATAAAGAATTCCAAGGCCCGATGTCACATCAAATTGGAATGATATTTTGGTTCTCTTTCTCAACTCTCGTCTTCGCACATAGTAAGTATTATCTCCCTTCAATTCAATTCCATCGGAAAGATAGTTTAAAAGGCATTTCCTTCGCCGTAAAATAACAGAAGAGAAATACCATATGCATTGACAATATTTGTACAAAATTAATACAGGGGAAAAGCTACTAAGCAACCTGTCAAGATTCGTAGTCTCTGTTTGGGTGTTCGTAGTGCTCATATTGACTTCCAGCTACACTGCAACTTTGACATCAATGATGACAGTTAAACAGATTCGACTAAACTCAGAAAAGAATTACATAGGATACCAGAACAATTCACTCATGCCTGGAGTTATCAGCAATCTGAATTTTGATAGTTATAGCCTTCACTCACTTAATTCACCTGAAGCATACGCTGATGCTTTATCAAAAGGAAGCAAGAGTGGTGGGGTCTCTGCTGTCATTGATGAGATACCGTACATAAAGATTTTCCTTGCCAAATTTTCCCAGGATTTTTCACTGATTGGATCCAGGACTACCACCCGTGGTTTTGGCTTTGTAAGCATGCTTTAATTTCTTCAAAATTATTAACATATCTATCCATATGATGCAACGTAAGCAAACACCTCAAGTAGAAAGTCTAAACATTTTTGACATGTCAAACATTTACAGGCTTTCCCTCAAGGCTCGCAACTGGCTCGTGACATATCGACGGAAATTGCGAGAATGAGACATGAAGGGAAGCTTATTATGCTGGAAGATGCATGGTTCACAAGTCAAGCAACTTTTACATGGGAAGACAGTTCAGACAGTGGGAGCCCTCTTACCACTGATAGCTTTCGTGGTTTATTCCTCGTCAGCGGAACGTGCTCCTGTTTAGCGTTATTCATGTTTCTTGTGTTCGGTCTTTACAAGAAATATAGGGTAAAATAGGGTAAACAGAAAGAGCAAGAATCGGTTCTCCTTTAGTAAATTTTTGTAGTTAAAATGATGATCGTTGTTAGTTTCAATGACAGATAACACTGTACAATTAAACTGTCATTGAAATATTTTTAAATAGCCTTTCATTTTCAGTGAAAGCCCCTCCTTCCCCTTCATTTCCCCCTATTCCTTAACACATAAGACATGTCACACATTCTCCTGAAGAGAACTCATATTCAAGTTGTAGCGTTTGACTGTTAGATGGGCGTTTACTTTTTTTCGTGTTTTAATCCTGTGGGTAGACTCAATTCGAGGTTTCTTCGTTCCTGCCAATTGATTTATTCAATCTAAACAATCTCCAAGATTAATTCTTGAAGTCTCAATTTCTACTCAGGAATTAGTACCCTATGTCGAAATGAAAGACATGATACATCAGAGAAGTCTGAGCATTTTTGTTTTATTTGATCTTTTAAAGTCTGTCAATTGATGATTCAAGTATGAAAACAATTTTTGCGTAATGGTTTGTTTGTAGGCATTTGTCTGTAATAAGTCTGCCGTCTATATTCAAAGCTAAAGACTTCAAGCGGTATTAATAAATATTCAAACCATTGGCATTACTTCAAGTACTTTTTCTTTTTTTTTTGAAACTTGGAATAATTCATTAAAGGGAGTAACAAATGGTTAAACTCCTATCAAAAGCACAAAAGAGCTGCAATCTTAAGACCTATGCGCGGTCCCAGTGGTGGCATAACCCTCAAAGTTACATAACTGAACAAGCAAAGGCCACTAACGTAGATTTTCCAAAGCAATCAACCCACAATTCCCGCTCCTATGGATGTTGTCTTTAATCTTTACCTTTCAATCAGAGCACATCAGCATCAGGCAATCCCTATCACCACCTCTCCCTACCTCAGGAACCAGTGGAGCAACAGAACATCTGTCATAGTCTATCTCCAACAACAAAACAAACAAGCTGTTCTCATACCAGTCAAATTCACAACTCCTACTTGGAGTGTCCGCCCAGACGTTCACCGGGTCCACCTCTCCGCCTAGTCAAATACTCTATTTGCCTTTTAAAAAAATTTATAAAATCATTTTCTAAGGTTTTGTGAGTTTTAAGCAAGGATGAAGTCAATATATTTTTTTTCATAAATAGTGCCGATATAAAATTATCAATATATTACTACTTTACACAAATTTTAAACACTTAATGAGTAATTCTGTGTTAAATTTAAAAAAAAAACTAAAAGAAGAAAGTACAGAACCAAAAAAAGAGAAGATAGAACAGTAATAAGCGATATTATGTTGTCCATGCATTGTATATGATTCTTTATGATATGATTAATTCAATAATGAGTGTACTAATAGCAAAATAATTATTTAAAGCTAATATTTGTCTGTAAAAGTGAAGTGGTACTTATTTAATTGTGAAAATTCAGTTACATCACGTGAATAAGGTATTAAATTTGTTCAGATGATTTAGAATTTTGTGTACTCAATCTATTTAATAATAACTATTAATTCGGGAATGTTGATTTTAAGTTTAAGTTTTATTTAATTATTTATAAGGATAAATTTCCTAAAATAAGGGCTTTGCTGCTAAGGAGAGAGTCAAACCATCTGCAGTCCAAAAATTTTCATCAAGAAAGCGAGGGAAAAGCTATTCTAAATTTCCTCTCAAATTTTATTTTATTCAATTTTCCTTTATATTTCTTACTCTTACCCAAACACAAAAAATAACAAATCAAGAATTTTAAATTCTTTTCTCCCATATTTCCGAAAAACCGAACAGCACGGAAAAGTTTTGGGAAAAACTTCTCAAACAAACTCATCTCTCTTGGTTTACATTTCTATATTTAACTAATTTTCCTACCTCATTAATACAAGGAAATCTTTTTAATTCGAATAAATAGTAAACTGTATTTTTTAATTCTGCAATACAGACAAGCAAAAGGAGGGAAAAGAAAAAAATTCTATGTCAGGACTCATGCTAAAGAGAAAATTTCTTTGCATTCCCTTAAAGGTTGACTAGTCAGCATTCAGCAGCTTGCCAGTCAACTTTTAGGAAAGTTCAATTTTATCTGCGGCCACTAATATATATATATATATATATAAAAGAACATGCAGAGATCATGAAACTGGAGAGTTAATCACAAAAGAAAATAGAAAGGTCTTGTAATCATAAGGAGATGAAGAGGAAGAACCAAATTTTGCTCTTATTTGTCATCATCTGTCTTACCAGCTGTCTCGAAAACTTGAGTGCCAAACCAGTACTTACTAAGAAGAGGGGAAATGAAATGGATTATGAGGTTCATGTCGGAGTCATCCTCGATATGGGGTCGTTGGAGGGAAAAATTCTTCAACGTTGCATTTCCATGGCAATTTCTGACTTTTACAGCGGGCACCATTACTATAAAACAAGGCTAGTTCTCCACACCAGGGACTCCAAAGGAGAAACTCTCAACGCTCTCTCTGCTGGTACGTTTTCTCGAGTTATTTACATATGGTGCGACATTTATTGTTTTGTCGTTTTTATGATCTTCTTGCATCCAACAGTTGACCAATGAGTGCTGTGAGGATTGACCTTTTCTGCTACTCATTTTTTTTTTTTGCTTCGGTTGATAATCTTAGCCAACTAATAATTATTTCTTATGCAATATTTATTGGTCAAAGAACGATCCTTGCACTGTAAATTTTTCGTCAATTTAAATTTTTTATTTTAAAATTAGTTAATTTAGTCTTATATTTTGAGATATTTTATAATTGAGTTTCTCTGTTTAACTCTGTCCAAATTAACTGTTAATACTACTTACATAGTATTAACGTGGTATTGATAAGAAAAAAAAAATTTACCACATGGTTTTTCTTTTTTCTTTCTTTTCTCCTTTATCCAAAACTACGTCGTTTGGTGCAACTATTTAACACACTCTTTTTTCCTTTTTTCTCTTTTAACTAAGATCCGTGTAGCACTTGAGTCTCGTATACTTACAATGAAATTAAAAGAGACTATTTATAACTCATCTTAAACTTAGACCTACTTGATATGCAACTAAAGTAAATAACATAAAAAGAAATATCTTAATTTTAGATTTACTTGTAATATAAGTAAAACAATCAATAAGTTCGAAAATATAAATACGAAAAATGTATTATTCCTAATATAATATATTTAGTCTAACATTGATTACTTTAACCGTTATTTCTTAATAATATTACAGAAAGAGCCCAATCCTAGTAAACAACCCATATGTGCGTAGCCCACAACTACGTGGGCCTCATGCGCCAAGCCCACTAATTCACTTTCCCATCATTCTACGTCTTATGTAGCCCAATCTCGCAAAGTGTCTTGTATGCATGACAACCCCCCATTGTTGCTGATTCGATAATTGCTTGGGCTGGACTTATCATGGATTCGCAAATCGTGATATATTTCTCAATTTGATTCTGACATCATCCTCGTTGTCAAGTGAAAGTGTTCAAATTTTTCATTACGCTGTCTTGGCACTGTCATGCGAACACTCACTTTGCCCACCCTTGCCCTGTGCTCGGATATTGGTGCTTAGTTTATCCCCGCCATCTGACATTGGCCACTGGTCTGTACACCCCAAATTCACCCTTCTCCTACATGAGTTACCCCTCTGTACACCTTCCTTGGAACAGTCTGGTCATATTACTACCTTGGCTTTATGGCACTCTGCTACCACCACATGTCTCAGTTATAGAACAACACCCATCTACTTTGGACTCCTTGTGGTGCAAGCATGTCCGGTCTTCTCGCCTTTCGATCAAGCTTTCTTTGACTGGCATCAAGCTCCCTTTTCCTGGCTCATTGCAAGGATACCCTTGCCCAACACACACTATCTTATGTGTATGCCACTTCTTTGAGTACCTCGATTGCGTGCTACCTTTACATGAAATACCTTTCTTTTGAGTGAATTTAGACTTGATTCAGCTCAAAACCATAAATCTAAGCTCCTTAGCTTTCAAATCGCACTCATCTTCCTTGTGAATGAAGGCCACTAAATTCCATCGATACATTTAAGGGCAAAAAGGGCACTCATTGTTGGGGGCAAAAGGTAAGGAGAGAAAATAGAAAGAAGTGGCTAGGATGAAAGAGAAATGGGGGGAGCCTTTCATCAACAATTTCATCGGTAATGTCATTGCCTAATAGACTGAACAATCCATCGGCCTTTCCATCAATAAATTCCAATGGTAAATAGAAATATTGATGAACAAGATTAGTAACATTATTCATAACTTCCTTATTCATTACGTGCCAGACAATTACTGACCGCTTTCGTAAAGAATGGACTTCATTGGTATTCCATCGGCATTTTGCATATCACTAGTTGGTCAAAAACTCAGTTAATAATCTGTTGATGATTGCCAATGGAGCGTTACCGATAACAGTCATTTTTTTGTAATATAGTTAAGGGATATTTTCAAGTATTATACCATTAATATTAAACTTCCAATAAATTTTTTTTTCAAAATTTAATTAGAATGTACTAACATTGTGTTTGGTTTTATGTTTACCATGTTAAAAAGCACTTTTGATGCGATGTTAATGTAGTTTAGTTTGACTCAAAAACCTTTTTTTTTATCATATTTTTTAAGTTAAATGCGTAAATACCTAAAGATTGGTTTTGCGGTTATCAAAAACATTTTTGAATATCGCACTATCAAAATACTCCTTTATATTTTTTGAATTTCAAAACTACTTTTGTAATTATTCAAGTATTTTGAATTTAAAATACAATTTTAGTACGTTTCAAAAAAAAATAAAGCTTTAGTGAGAATATAATTGTTTAATTTCTAATTTGGAATAATTATAAATTTTTAGAAAATTTAAAAATTATATTTTTTGTATATTTTTAAAATTAAATTTCCATATAATTTATTTTTTGATACATCTTAATAGTTATTACTTAAAATATAAAAAATTAAAAAACTCGATATTTACTTTTTAACATCATGTTCTTTTCAAACATTTTAACTCTCTGTAACACTTTTCGCAACAATATGAAATACTCAAAACTTTCAAGCTATACTTTTTCCCGACAATTACTATAACACCTTTAGTATGCACTTTTTCTAATCCAAACTTTGTTAGCCACAACAGTAATGCCAAACTGGGCCCCATTAAATTTAGGCTAATTAACAAAAGATATAGGGTAGTGGTGCTGCTGATTTTGTTACCATAAACCAAACCCCTGAATGTATATAGACCTTTTTAAAGTTTGTACTACTTATAAGACTTTCCCAAGAAAAATAAAAAGATTTACAGAACAAATTAAAACTAGCATATGATTGTGAAGCTACTAGAGTGAGAGCTGCAAATGCAGAAGACTCAAGCAATAGAGATCTTCCCAACACAGAATAGGAAGCATGTACCAGGTTCTTCCTGTCTTTTATTTTCCAGGAAATTAGGGCACATGACAGTTCTAGTGGCAGTGAATAGTTATGGTGCGATTGTTGTGCTTTTGCTGGAATGTTTACTTCATTACAATTGTATTGATGTATTGATGTGTCGATTGAATTCTGGGGCTGAGTTGTTTATGGTTGGGTTGTAGAGGGTAGAGTGTTATGGAATTTTTTGCTGGGCCTAAGGGAAATAGTATGTGTTTTGTGCTCGTATACCCCTATTATCTTTTGTAAGGGGCATAGCCTTGCAAAATCCTTCAAAAAGAGGTGATCAGTGGTTCCCTATTTTGAACAATGCATTATGAAATTTCAAAAAAAAAAATATGATTGTGAAATTATAACTCGGAATCCATTGCAATTTGCAAAATACAGCTCTTAATCTCTTGGAAGATGCCAAAGTGGGAGCAATCCTTGGTCCACAAACATCATTGGAAGCAAAGTTTCTGGCTGAGTTTGGGGACAAGTACAAAATCCCAGTGATTTCATTTTCCACACCTGGTTCCTTTCCGACCACAACCAGGTCTCCTTACTTTGTTCAAATTGCACATGACCAAAACTCAGAAGTTAAAGGTATTGCAGCTCTTATTGAACTATACAAATGGAGGAATGTCATCCTTATCCATGAGGAGAATGATGACTTGAATCTTGATAATACCATATCTTTCATGGCTGCTTTCTTTGAAGAGAAAAACATACGCATTGCATTTATGAGTGCAATTGCTGCATCATCTGAAGATGATCAAATCATTGAACAACTTCATGAGCTCAGGACATTGCAAACTGCAGTATTCATTGTGCATTTGTCTCATTTTCTTACATCTCGCCTTTTCATAAATGCAAAAAGATTGGGAATGATCAGCGAAGGGTATGCTTGGATTGTGACTTCTAAGGGCATGAATCATTTGCATTTAAGAGACTCATCTATCGTTGAGTCAATGCAAGGCGTCCTTGGTTTTAGGTCTTATATTCCAGCATCGGAAGAGCTGCACAATTTTACTTCAAGATTAAGAACAAAACTTTTTACTGAGGGGCCCCATGCGATTCAAGACATGCAGTTAAATATACTTGGTTCATTGGCCTACGATGTTGCCTGGAGCCTAAAAACTGCAGCCGAAAGGGTAGCGGTGAAAGTTTCTTTTAACAGCAATCTAGATGCTAGATCAAACTCAATGGATTTAGATATCTATAGAACATCTATGTATGGTTCAATACTTCTCCAAGAGATACAGCGCAGTAACTTTAAGGGTTTAAGTGGTGAATTTCGATTCATCAATGGGAAGTTAATCTCAAATGCATTTGAGATAGTTAATGTGCTAAGTAATGGGGAAAAAAGAGTTGGATTTTGTACTTCCACTGGAAAAATCACAAGGGAAATATATGAATCCAATCATAGAAGACAGCTGTCTTTCACCAACAATCTCGAGTCGATAATCTGGCCCGGTGGGTCTTCTACCATTCCACAAGGTCGGATGTTGCAAACGAGTGGTAAAATCCTTAGAATTGGTGTGCCTTCACAAGTGGGGTATCCGCAATTGCTGGAGCAGAAACATGATCCTCGCATCAACGCTACAACGTTCACTGGTTTCTGTATAGATGTTTTTAAAGCTGCCATAGAGGGTTTGGACTATCAACTGCCATATCAATTCATCCCTTTCGAGGATCCCAACGGAAAGAGTGCTGGAACTTACAATGAGCTCATTTACCAAGTTTATCTCCGGGTATGTCATTTACCTTCAAGCTAATAAACATTTTCAAAAAATAAATAAATAAATTAGAGTATTTGTCCATAACCTTTTCTTAATATTTTATATGATATCCCCCCACTAACATGTAAAAAATGTAAGCACAATTCGTCACAGATATACCCACTTAATTGCCAGCAAATTCTATCCATACTAATGAAATGTTACCAATGAATGTATAAGAACAAAACCTAAAATTCATGGATAAATAATTGAGTTTTAAATCACGATTAAACATTAATTATTACTAAATATTTATGAAATAACGGTGAAATTTACTAAAACATATATGTAATAAAGAAGCTCTAGATAAAAAACAATGACTCCTAGGTTACTGTTTTTTATATTAGATATTATTATTATTATCAAAGTTTGGCCCCTTGCATGTCACGTTGCGATCGGATAACCAAATAGGAATTTGACGCTGTCATCGGGGACACAACGATCACAGCAAATAGATCCTTGTATGCAGATTTCACGACGCCATACACTGACATTGGCGTTGGAATAGTGGCCCCAACCGAAAATAAAGACATGTGGATTTTCTTCAAACCGCTTACGCCACAACTTTGGCTAACAATTGTCGGTTTTCACATCATAACCGGATTTCTCATTTGGCTAATTGAATGTCAAAGTCCTCGCCATGGCGCTGAAGGCTTACCGCCCCAACGAAGTGGGTTCCCCTTCTCAATCCTCGTTGGTCGTTGTAAGCACCTTTCTCTTTCTGAATCAACATATACGAGATGTGCTATATGTATCAGAAATAAAGGATTAATTTGTTTGTGCACTTAATATTTCAGGGGAACAGTTGAGAAACAACTGGTCAACATTTTTAGCTGTTGTTTCGCTGTTCGTAATGTTTATATTAAGTTCCAGCTACACTGCCACGCTGGCTTCAATGATGACGGTCCAGCATATTGAATTGAACTCCAAGGGAAGTTACATTGGATACCATGCGACTTCAAATATCACGAAAGGAGTTTTGATCAGCAACCTAAATTTTGAAGACAATACCCTTAAGCCATTTAGTTCCATAGAACAATTTGCTGATGCATTATCAAAAGGAAGCAAAAATGGTGGCGTCTCCGCCATCCTTGATGAGATAACATACATCAAGATATTTCTTGCAGAGTATTCTGCCGATTATTCCTTGATCAAAACCTTTTCTATCACCAATGGCTTTGGCTTCGTGAGTATATCAATATATCCCTTCATAATTACAATGAGAAAATTGTTATTTTTTTTTATGTTTAATTTCTAATATTGTTGTCAATTTGGTCAGGTTTTTCCCAAAGGTTCACCACTGGTTCCTGACATATCGAGGGAAATTGCGAGACTGAGGGAAAGCGGGAGGCTTAATATGTTGGAAAATACATGGTTTAAGAGCAAAGCATCACTGACGTCTGGGGATAGTGTAGACAATGTGAGGCCTCTTACTCCTACTAACTTTGGCGGGTTGTTTCTTATCAGCGGAATTCTCTCTGTTGTAGCATTTCTCATATTTCAAATCCCTCTGCTCAACGAATATTGGCATGCTGTGAGAAATCGGATGATAAACCCCATCAATGTTTGGAGGCAAGTTCATCGGTTTGGAAAGGAGTATTTCCTTTCTGATATTGTTAGAAGGATTAGGACAGTAAATTCTGCTGCAACACATCCGCAGGTGCAAATGATTTAACTTCAGCAGAGACAGCCTGTCAGGACATCTTATGACATCTTATTCCCCTTTTTCTAATTCCTTAAACATTTTTTTTTTTAATTCTTGGTTTGGTTTTTATTTATGTTACATTCTTAAATATCGTAATATATTCTTATTATCCATAAAGAGACAATTAAACGGTTAGAATTTGATATTTTAATTTTAAAAGTTCGATCCGAATCTATGATATAATAACTCAACGTATTTCTTCCTTTTAGAAAGTACGATTAAAAAGGTCATAAAATTGTCATTTAGGATTGCAAGAACTCATAGCGGAAACTGGAGTGACCAATCCATTTGGTTCGAATGAAATCGAGCTGGAGGATTCTATTCATGAGTTATAATTGGTCCCAAACTCTTGGGCCCCATTTGACATAACGGTGAGATCTGATTCTAATGAAATGAAGCAATGACGGTGGTAAATTGATAACAAGATTAAAAGTTGCACTGATAAAATTGAAATTAATGACCAGAAAAAATAACATAATTATATTGTGAGAAGAGAAATGATTACAGTAAAATCTCTTTAAATTAATACTTGACAAATTAATAATTTCAATTAAAAAATATTTTGATCGATCGTAATATATTAATAATTCATTAATTGATAAGGTAATACATTTTTAAAAAAACACATAGGTTCCACTTGATATATAAATTAATAAACTCCTTATATGTATATATATATCAAAATTATATATATATATATATGATTCATTTAGAAAGTTTTTATAAAATATGATCTCCAATGTTACTTGTTTTTTTCTTAAAATTGATGTTTCCTTAAACCTCATCTTTAACTTTTCTCAATGTATTAAAATGCTATGAGATAATGTTCGTGTATTATAAGAAAAGATTATAGTATGTGATTGCTGCTTTAAGTGTATCTTAACGTGAAACAAGGTTCAATATAGAATTATCGTTTTCAATTTCATTTTCTTTGTCATTTCTCATGATATTCTCAACAATTTACGCGTCTCGAATAATAATAATTTGTAATTCGGTAAATAGTTAATATTTATATAATCACAATACACAGCATATGTATTCAAGTTCAATGTTTTGAAAAAAAGATTAAAGAATACCTTGATAAAATTTTTTTATTAATTAATGTATCAATTAAAAAATTATTAATTTATTAATTAAATAACATCTCGATTATTTAATAGATTTTAATGGTCCCAAAGTGTTAGAAGTGTTAGCTTAATGAACAAGTCACAAGAATGTCTAAGAGAGGGTGAATTAAATTTTTAAAAATTTTGGAGAATGAAAAACCAACTGTTATACTTGACTATAATGAATCTCTAGTCGACTATGGTTGTGATCCTATTAACCGACTAATTTCAATTCCTTTCAATAAATTTTTAGTCAACTATGAAAACTTAAGGATTGATCTTAGACCAGAAAACTTATTTTTAAAACTTTTAAGAGGAATTTTAACAAAAACCTTAATGTACATGCAAGTTTTAATCATATCTACTCAATTAAACATAGACAAATGATCACTTTGAAATGCTTAAAAAGTTATTCAAATGTAAACCAAATAAAGGCAACTTAAAAAAATATCTCAATAAATCTTTTCAACAAGAATTACATAAGTAATGATGATAGAAAAAGATTTAACAAAGATACCAATTAAGATGTGAAGAGTACGAATCAAACTACAAGTATTTTATGAAATGGGTTCTCTTGAAATAAAATATGGCAAAACAAAACAATGATAAAATGATGACATTAGGCAAATATCAAAACTTCTTCAAAATGGATTTTCTACTTGTGTTAAAATCAAAGCAAATGATTTTTATAAGATAGAGTTTCAACAATAAATCACGAAGCATAAAAGTAAATCAAGACAAAAAGATTTATAATGGTTCGGCTTTCAAGTGCCAACATCCAGTCCCTTGGTTCACTAAGAAATTTTCAATCTATTAAAAGAATTCTAGCTTTTTATTGAGAAGCGATAACCTTACAATGGCTTTTAACAGGTTCAATCATAAACCTATGGTTTTAACAAGTTCACTACAAATCCATGGTTTTAATGGGTTAATTAGAAATCCATGTTTTTTAACGAGATCACCACAAACCCATACTACCTTTTCAAAGCTAAGTTAGAACATTTACAAGGATAACAATGGTGCCTCTAAGAGGTGGATTTTGCTTGTTTGGTACAATCGAGGAAGAATGCCCAACATTGGGTAAAAAGATAGGATGTAAAGATGGAAGTGAAAGCACAAAGAAATTTTAGCTTTAAAAGGCTTGGTTTCTTTCATTTTCTTTCAAGACTTTGATCCTCAAGAGTTTGGCATTTTTCTTTCTTCTTCCTCAACTTGAAATGCTTTCAAATAGTCTTTTTTTTTATAGTTGAAAGAGTCTTAGAGCCGTTGGAGGTGATTAAGGTAAGAAACTAATATTTTCCTTTTGAATTTTATGTCTAATGGTCATTTATAGTTGAGTATCAAAATTCTTTAGTCGATCCACTTTTAGAATGCTTGTATTTTTGAAGTCTGGCTTGGTGTAATTGACTATGGCTTCTTTATAGTTAACTATGTATGTGTAAAGTCAACTTTTTCATGCTTTTGAATTGTTAGGGTCAACTATAAGAGTTTCAAGGTTGACTATGGCTATGTATTTTTCAAATTTCCTAATCCATTCTTGCCCATTTCATTGTAGGATTGACTTGCCTTACTCTAAGATCAATTGGAGCTTTGTTTCTTCAACATTCCTTGACATTTTCTCACTTAACTTCAACTACTTCTTCCTTGCTTCTTCCCTATGATCAAGTGTTGAGTTGATAATGAACTTCTTGGCTTGAGATAACCTTAGTGATCTTTGAATGCTTTGAGATAAACTTCACCATTTGAGAACGTATCTTGCAACTTCAACGTGTCAAAGATAAATGTTAGACAAATCATAAATAGAACTCTTTTAAGTAAATTTAACCCTTGTACAGTTACGTCATTCAAGCTTGTAGACATTTGTAGAACAAGTGTGTGATAATTTAATAACTTCAAGAATTCACACAACTAAAACAATCAAGCTTTTAATCATGTAAGAACAAATGTATAAGAGCTAAATCATTTCAAGAATATATCAAGAATCATTCAAATATTGTTCAAGTAAATTTGATCATTTTGTCATAACCAAAACTATAATCATTTTAAAGCTAACACAAAGGTATTAATTTATAGAAGTTTTACTGTATTAAGTATATTAGACTAATGTTGGTTATAATGTAATTTTTTAATATATTCTACATTTAAAGCTAATGAAATTAATAAGATTAATAAAAGTTATTTTTAAATTAAATAGTTATAATTATCTAGAGCTAATAAAAAGGACCAAAACAATGAATTGAAATGCACATAAGAAAGCTATTTTTTAAAAAAAAAAGTGAAGGAAAGGCCTTTACGATAAATCCTATATTACTTGAAAATAGAGCACCTCGAGTTCTATAAAATGGTAGGAAGAGGGGCTGATATGTTTTTGTTGTAGTTCCTTTATCAGACATTAGTTAGACCTATAAACAATGGTTTTTTTTATGACAAAATATTTCGTCGATAAAAGTCAAATTTTAATGGACATATTCCTTTTCAACCAAACTTTTAACGAAAAAATTTTGTTAGATATTCCTAAGTTGGTTATGTTATTCTGTCAGAAAAGAAAATTTTATTGGTAATAGTTAAACCATTATTGAAGAAAATTTCTATTGGTAATAATTTAAAAAATCTGTTCATAATAATTTTTGAAATTATTAAATTTTATAAAATTTGTTGGTAATTTTCTTCAAAAATCAATTGATGATAGTCAAAAGTGACTTTTTAATTTTCTATTATTTTTTCTTATTTTATTTAATTTTTATATTTACTTTAAAACTAATTATATGAAAATTAAAACATAGCTAAATAGCTAAAAATAAAATAAATAAAATTCTAAATTTTTATTGATAACAAAGTAATATTTTACAAATATGTTCATAATTTCAATTTCATTAGTTTTTTTTATTTATATCTTATTGGTCACCTCAAATATGATTCTAAACTTAACTTCATTTCCAAGTTGAAAGGAAAGGTTTTAGTCTAGAAAATGGATCTGGGTTCCAAAGTATAGGTACGCCCGAAAAAGGTATTAGCACCTTTGTGATGTGAGTTTGAAAAACAATACCAGTTAGCATATATTATCTTAATTTTATCCACGATAACTAACCTTTAACTTTATATTTAATTTTATTTTCCTTAATTATCATTTTTTTCTTTTCGTTCCTTTTCTTTTGTCGTATCTTTTTTTTTCTTATTGTTGAATATTGGATACTTTTTTTGAGTTTTTCCAACACTTTTGGTAAAGCTAAGGAGTCACTCACCTCAATAGTATTGGTATATTATGGAAAGGTTTAGATTAAATCTTCTATTCTTTTTGTTTTTCTTTGTTCTTTTCCTTCACTTCTTTTTTTTCATGAATTTTGTTATATATTTTATTTTTCCCTTTTTATTATTTCTTTTTTTCTTTAGAATTAATGAAAACCCTTCATGCTGAAATTTTTTTAAAATTTTCTAACACTTTTGACAGAATTTTAAAAAGATTTCTCAAATACGAATTTTTAGGAAAATTGTCACTTTCAACTTTCTTAAAATCCCATCATTGGTTGATTTTCATTTCCTTGAATTCTTTATACCTTTTATTTTTTTCTTATTCTTTTTATTTTTCCTTAATATTAAATGAAAACCCTTGATATCGAAAAATTTTCTAAATTTTCTAACATTTTTAATAGAATTTTAAAAATTTTCCTCATTTAGAAATATTCAAGAAAATTGTCACTTACAATTCCTTTAAAATGGTGTGGTGGGGATGTGCTAAACAACCTAATAATTTGTTAGTAAATGATGTTGTGAGGTTTACTAACTTCGGGATTATATCGAAGGAAGGAAAAAAGAAAAAACAGATTGTTAGATGGCAAAAATCGCAGAAAGGGTGTTTAGAATTTAACATGGATGATGCTTCTTGAGGAAATCTAGGAGAAGTAGGAATTTGTGGTATCTTAGGAGACAATAA